CAGAATAATATGGCTAGAGAAGAACAACTGATAAGTTTATGTCTGAACAAATTGTAACCCAGTTTCTGCTCATTTTCACTCCGTGCAAAAAAATATTTGCTGCTCCTTGCAGGCTGAGCTACTGCCTTGCCGGTTTTGTCGGTTCAGTTCGTAATCCTTCTAAAAGGGAAACAGGCCTTTCAGTTGCCTTTGTTACAATAGACCATAGCAATTCCCCTACCACAGCCCTTTTGACAGTCTGCAAAACATGCAGTCTCCATTATGAGGCCAACACACGTGGTCAGATGTCCCCACATTCACTAAAAAATAGATCAAAGCACTTAATTCTCTTCCAATGGGAAGAAATCATAGAGGTTAAAAAAAGAATACGTCTTGTCAGAACAGACGTCTGAATCTACTTGTAAGCGCTTTGATAACAAAGCCCACAATGTTCCAATCCCTGGAAAGGATTGCTGTTTTCTACAGGCTTTGGTCTGTCCCGGCTGGACTGTGTGCCTCACCTCAAATTAATCATTATTTCTGCCATAATTGCTATAATTATTATTTTAAGTTTGGCTTAGGCCATAAATTCTGGCGAGATGAGTCACTTCCTTTTGCGGGGGTATTCAGGGTACAATGTCATCATCGCTTCTAAGAAAAGACATTGCTGGTGGTGCAATTAGTAAAGTTACTAAATCCAGCCCCGTGTGTTAACCAGATCAACAGGTTTGACAGCTATCGCAGCCCAGAACACAGGCTTGAGCTTGGCTTAAGGATGCAGTGAGGAAGCCAAGTGGCAGATCAAGTAATAACAAACAATACAAATACAGTTTTACTTATAAGTGCTGTGTTGTACTGTAGTGTACCTGCGGGATACCTCTTAGAAGAAAACCACAAAAACTAGAAATTGAGCGTAACGTGAAACTATACATTTAAAGCTGAAATGTGTAGCCTTTTAGAGAATTTAAGAAATGTCAGCAGTTGCAGAGTCTGTAAAGTATTTGGACAGTGCAGGAACACAGGGAGAACATGCAGACTTCACACAGAAGGTGCACCAGATCAGAGTGGATCCTAGGGCGTCAGCTGTGAGGCCCTTTTCTTTGGCCAAACGAACCTGTTAACTCTCCTTCTGAAATCTGAAATCCTGTTTGCCCCTTTTATTTCTGCAGTGCTGTTATCTACTAGATATGTCACATTATAAAGGAACAAGCAGAGTTTAATTCCACGCAAGAAGGTAGAAAGAAATCTAAAAATGCCATGTTCCAGCTGACTACCATTCTTGAGCCACACCTGAAGAAGGCTCCGCAGCTGAGACGTGACTTTCTGCTTTTTCGCGTGGAGTGAAACTCTACTCCTTCCTTGGCTGCCCATGGGCTCCAACGGATTCCCACTCCAACCTGTGTCACGTGACATTGCTCAGCTGCTGGTCAGGCAGAGACTGAGGAAGGACTCAGGTGGATTGTATCTCTCGGGTCGTCTTCCAAGGAGTGTTAGAGCAAAGCAGCAGCCTTACTGCAGAATCCCAGAACCTCCGTCATAAACTCAAGCTGATGCTACAGTTTCAATCCGAATTTCGGATGGGATTACTCCACTTTAATTTCAATTTTTGCCAAGCTGAATACTACACAGAAGACTATTGATTCACGTCAAAATGTGAATTTGCATGGCTTTTCATTTCTTAAGTAAAGGTATTTTTGCTGAGCTATGTGTTACAGTATGTTAAGTAAAGCTGTTGTCCAGTCAGTTTCCTTTGTTAATTCCACTTCAGAGGACAGGCAAATGTTGCACTTTTGGTTTTTGAAGATAAAACAGCATTATTGGATAAAATCAACAACCATTTGCTGTAGCACAATTTGTCATGCAACCTTTAAAGATAAATCTTCAAAATTCAATCAGAACATGTCTATTGACTATAGTGCTTGTATGATAAAATCCCGAACATCGTTAACAATTTAAAAATATATCTGGATATTTTTGTGATAGGTTTGTTTGGTAGATTCTCACGTTTTACCTTCTGTTTTAATTGTTCAGTTGTATCATGGAGGTCCGAGTTTTTAAATTCATTGGTGGTGCAGGTACAAATTCCAGTTTGCCTCTGTTGAGTGTCACATACCCCGGGAAGTGTCTGTAATCAGACCTTCTGAATAATTCACTGCATGTACCCTGTGCAAACCATTTCCTCTCAGGTTTTCTTTGGTTGGTGTGAAATGAAAGGCAGCAGTCTGAGACGCCTTGGTGGAGGCAGGGTGTGTGTGCGCACTGTAGCAGGGCTTGTTCCTACGGGAGAGAGAGTCACTTCTGCTGCCCTCAGTTGTTGCCTCAGGCGTGAAGCAGGAGAAATGACAAACTAATTATTGGGAGAAAATGGATCACAAGCTGTTTCTGGGACCTCGTAATTTTTCAGTTTTGTGTAATTTAACTTAATAGGCTTTAATCTCCACAATCTGGCTTATGAAGACAAAATAAACAGGCCAACATGTGTGTTCAATTGAGATCAATTTCACATTCTTTAAAAATCCATAATATAGAACATGTGAAGGGGGGTTTTGTCTGTGGAATCTGGAATGGAAAGGTCTTACCTGGACGGTGTTGTGGGTGTGTGTCTCAAAAAGAGCAAAGCCAACTTAGAGGTTAGAGACTGGGCAAAGAAGTTGATGATTAAGTCAGAAATTCAAAGAGCATCTAAGCACCTTGAAGATGCCTACTTTTAATTTCTCTGTCTTTAATTAAAAGAAAAAATATTTCTGGGGTACTAAAAGGTTATGAGTTCCCCCCTGTTCTTTGCTGGAATGGCTTGAGGGGTCAGAAGATCCCCGACACACAGGTTTGACCAGAGTAGCGTAATTGTGCTGTCAATCAAAAGTGATGGATACCGTTGCCTGGGGAACTCAGACAGTGAAGATGGCAGCTCTGTGAGTTAATAAGAAGAGGCGAGAATCCCCGATTACTGTACACAAACCCTTTTCAGCTGGTCTGCAGAGAAATTGCCTTGTTTTTCTATGGGAAAGGCCTGGTGCAGATGACCCTTTATTAGTACAAGGAAGAGCTCATTAAGAAACGCAGCATTCGAAGGCCTCGTAATTAAAAAGGCAGTTTCTTGTGAGACGGAAACAATTTGTGTATGTGAAGGAATGGGATAAAGAATTTTAACCCCAGGCCCTGCAGCGTAAAACCCTGAGGTCAGAGCACATACATCCCAAAGGGTGAAGTGTACTGGATCAATCAACATTTTTCACTTTTTGTGTTCTTGTGTATTTTTTTTCCATTTTAAAGCTTGTCCTGGGTGGCACGGTGGTGCAGTCATTAGCATTGCTGCTTTGCAGCACTGGGCGGCCCTGGGTTCAATTCTGGACCTGCGGGGCTGTCTGTGTGGAGTGTGTATGTTCTCCCTGTGTTCGTGAGGGTTTCCTCCCACAGTCCCGAGACGTACTGGTAGGTTCGTTGGCTTCTGGGAAAACTGGCCCTGGTGTGAGTGTGTGTGTGTCTGGCGTCTTGGATAGGCTCTGACACCCCCACGACCCTGAATTGGAAGAAAGGCTTATCCCCTTAGCAACCCAGAGGACAAAGCTGGTTATGAGGTCTGTTTTAATGTAGGAAAACAAGAGAGTGCAACATTCTTTGAGGGCCAAACCAAATTTGTAGAAATTCGGAATGAGTTAAGTGGCTCCTCCCATCCAATGAAGAGCTTAGGGAAGAGCTAAGTGCCTGAGCTCGGGGAAGGTGAGATGTCAGGGTCTAGGCATGTCAGCACGCCATCCATCCAGCTGCCTGGAATTCTGGGATCGAAACTTGTGCAGGTTAAACGGTAAACGGGTTGTATGGTTACAGTATAGTTGCCTAGCTGACTGCATGAGAAAGTCATCACAAAATTTGGAATACGTGCATGGTCCACATGTGCTAGATTGGAGGAATGCCTGTATATTATCTAGGGTTGTAGCCTATACTATCCTGTACCCTCTTTTTTTGTAATGCTTTGCTCTAGAGAGATGCCGTTGATTTCCAGCACTATCATGTGCCAGACTTCAGGAGTGCTGGAAATCCATGAAATGCCTTTTAAAAGAAGATGCTTCCTATATGAAAAAGCCTGAGGGTAACCAGCAGGTTGAGCCTACGTCCAGGAGATCATCGCTTCGCGTCTTCAGAGCCCCGTTGGGCCCTTGACCCCAGCCTGGCCCGAAGGGGACCGGCCGGTTTCTTGCCGAGGCGGCTCAGGGGTGAGGCGGGGAGCAGGGTTCGACTCGCGACAAGCTGAGGCAGGCCGGGCACAAATCAGAGTTGACACAAGAGGTGTGGAGGCACAGGGGAGGCTGCAGGACTTCAGCGGTCAATCAGTGCTGATTGGGAAGGGCCTCAGTGATGGAGGTGTGCAGGCAGCAGGCCTTTCCCATTATAGCAGCTTCCCCTGCAATCACTAATTACCTTGCTGCTGATTGGCGCTGCTGATTGGAGCCACATGCCGGTAGGGTTACTCAGAGGTCACAGTGAACAGCGCAGGGACGGCAATGGAGGGTGTGCTGCTGTGTAGCAGCATGTCAGTATTCCCATTTTCTGAGCTGGTATCAGCTTAACATGGAAGGGAACCAACCCATTACAGCCTTGATTGCGAGATAATTATACCCAGTGATTTCGTTTCTATCCAGTGCATTGATTTCTTTGCACAGACTGATGGAAAGCCCCAGAAAATCTGAGCTAATTTATTTCTGCCTTTTTTTTTTAGGATATTACAGTATTTGTGTTCTGACTGAGGCCGACTTAGCCTAAGGCGACCCACGGAGGAACTGGTTGGAAAAGGCGTTGAATTTATTCTTGCTTAGTGGTAGTGCATTCTGGAGTTTGATCCATGTCGGGGCAGGGGGAACAGAAAATGTTGCCAGAGACCTTTGATAGAAGGAGTTAATTCAATTATAATATATTCTGACTATTTTAATCAAACCAAGCCTGTCAGGTGTTCAGATTTCCTTGCTGCACTTTGCGTGAAGGTTACTTGAAGCCAGAGAGTCTTAGCAAACGCCTACACATTTACCGAATGTGGTTTGCAGGAGGCCTGCAGAATTCCTGAGTATTTTGTTTTGTGGCACCCACACTCTAAGCACAGTGTGTCTCCAGTCTGTGTGGTTGCTAAAGCTGAGATAACAGGATGGCGTGTCAGACAGGACTGGAAGTATCTGAGCGCTTGTGGGCTGGAGCCCTCTCGCTGTCCTCAGTGCTGTCTGTGCCGCTGCACAGAGTGTGGCAGGCCTGTGTGTAAGTGCTGCAGTTTCACCATCAGCTACACTACGTCTGTTTTGGAGCCTCTGTAGTAAGGGCTCTTGCCCTCTTTTGTGCCAAGTTCGCTTGATGGCAGTATTTCCTTGAGGACATGGTTTAGAGCAGTGGTTCTCAAAGTGTGGTCCGTGGACCACTGGTGGTCCGTGAGCGTGCGCCAGGTGGTCCGCGGGCTGACCTTGTCACCTCTCTTAAAGCAAGTCTAAGCAGCGCCATTCTTCACATTAACTTTTTAAGTCATAAAAACATCTGCAAAATATGCAATTTTGTTTGTAAAAAGATTAATACCATACCATGGAACTTCAAGAACCACTGTTTTAGAGCACTGGCACAGCAGCGGTTAACTTCCTCTCACCCACAAAACAGCCGTTATCGAGAAGGGACAGAGACAGAGAGTCATTAGAAACCAGTTTGAAAACGAACGAATGAATCTCGTAAACCTCTTTGCTCCACATTTAAGCATATAGTGTGTTTCTCACTGGAGCCCCAGTGGAATCGACAGACAGCAACCTCAGACGATGACCTGCACCTAGGCAGAGGTGTCTTAGTATTTCACCACCTTTTCCATGCCACAGCACACTTATACGGTATATACAGTATAAAAACTGCTCTCCTCTCCGCAGACACATCATTGGCCTGAGAGCATTATCATTGCTATAATAAACAAAACTTCTTCAAGGGTTTAATCTGATTTTTGAAGTGCACAGCCGCCTGATCCTGGCCCGCGCCGATTGCAGTGAAATGCAGTATTCCTGCTAAGTGGTCCTCAGGTGTTCTCCGTTTTCTTGGTTTGTATGTCTTGACAAACGTTCAACTCTCACCCCGCTGTGAAATACTACCATGCGTGACAAAGGCGCACTGCAGAGGGTTGTGTTGACAGCACAGAGGGTTGTAGGATGTGGTTGACCTTCAATCGGTGAGATTCCCACCAGGCGTTGTCGCAGTAAAGACCAGTCCATCATTCAGGGTCCCAACCATCATGGCCACAAACTGTTCTCACCCCCCGTGCTCTGGCAAGCAATACCACACTATTATAGTATGGACCACTAGACTCAAGAACAGCTTCTACCCTATGGCAGTGCACATCCTCGACAGCTAACTGCAATGCCTCAGACTCGGTGCGCGTCTGTATGCACGTATGCACTTTTTGCATGGTCTATCATGGGGTTTTTTTCACGACTACATATTTATTGTTCTGGTTGAATCATTTATTACGTTGTAATGTCTGCATCGTGTGGTGTTCTGTGTTGGCGTGCGTCATCTGCAGTACTGTGTGTTCCCGAGAGATCAGTGTGAATAACGTCCATATGGTTATAAACTCCTACTCTCCTCCAACCCCACGCGGACACATCCTGGAGTGTGGCCTCTGTCTCTTGTGTATCCGCTGCACGTGTGACACAACACTTTGGTTCCTTTGCAAAGCTAAGATATCTGTTGAAACATTATTGAAACAATTTTTTTTTTCTTGTATGAGGCTTTTCCAGACTTCTGCAGCCCAGCGGGTAATGTCTGAAAGAAGGGACACTGCTTTAGACAGGACAAAGATTTTTGAGCTGGACCTTGGTTTTGGACCTCTTTCTCAGCAGAAACACGGTCTCACTGGAGCACAGTTGTTTCTGTCATCCTTGACAATGGTTCTGATTCACAAACTTTAAGCAGCAGCGTTGCGGCAGCAGCGACTCAATTTCCAAGTCAAAACACACTGGGGAAAGTCTCTGTAACCTACTGTTTAATATTCTTGAATTTGAAGAGGTTCTTTAAGTATGCTTCGAGAATGTATGATAGAAAAATCTTTCTTTATATTACCACAAAATTTGGCTTACTCTTATGTTAATAAAAAAACACGCAAATCATTAATAAAATATCCAGAAATGCAGATTTCACAAAGTCCGCTTTGAGTACTTGTAACATGATGCAAACATATTAATAAGGCTCTTTGTTTTGCTTCCTTCTAGGATAAGAAACTGCGCGTCTTTGATCCCAGAGCTCAGCTAACACCTGTGCAGGCAAGTAAATTCTGCGCTTTAACCTGATCAGGAGGGAATCAGAATATCAGTCAAAGATCAATTTTTCCCCAAAATTAAGTTCTGTGCCGGGAACAGTAAAACCGAGGGTCTGGAACATTGCTCTCTTTTTGAGAGAGAGTAATACATCAGATGTTGTAAAAGATGGTGAATTAAACTATGTGGAGTACTTAAGAGTGCCAGCACTTGGCATCCTCATAAGGGTGTGCTGTGACTTTGTTAAGATTAGAATGCTAAAAGGAATGATATTCTTTTTCACCATGTTGCTGTTTAATTCAAAGCACAGTGATGACTTGGTGCTTACTGCCTGTTTTAAAGATCATCCTCACACTGTCAACAGTACAGTACTTGTTAAACAGCCCTCTTAATTTCTCAGAGGGCTGTCAGATTGTCTGAAGGCTAGAGGTAAAGAGGACTGTCATTCCTCCTCAGACATATTTGGCCTTTACACAGTTTATTTTTGTATACCTCATTACATCTCTCATAACAAAAAAGGGTGCGATTCTGTTTCAGTGCACTCAGCGTTTTGTATATGTTGTCAAACAGACTGTGCGGCCTTTTTTACAGCGTTTTACAATACCACAGCAGAGTGGAGGCCTCAGGCTGTTTGTCTAGTTGCTTCTGTATGTCTGACCGAGTATAACCACTGCTCATGTCATCCTAACAACACGACAACCCAGAAGTGCCTCTGTTTTCTGTACCTTCACAATGTCCGTGCTGGCTCTTAAGAGATAGAAAAATAGGCTTTTATTTTTTCTTCAATGCCGTAGTTCCACTTGTGGGGAAATAATATTCTGGGCTTTATTTCTTGTCAGATGTTGTAGCCAATCTTGTTTCCCAGGCAGCAGTTCTCCCATTTTATGGTTATACAATTTTTTTTAAGCATCAAAGAGTAATAAAAAGGACAGTGAATGAAACAGTGCCGGGTTTGACCCCTCATACACACCAGTTGTCGGTTTCTTTAAAAGTAAAGGAGACGTGGAGCAGACCTCAGCACAGTGTTGAAAGGCCTCATTTTTCTTGTCTGGATTTATGCGGGATTTTCTGACCTGGTAAGGAGGTGTCTGGAATGTACAGTCCAGGAATGCCCTGATTTTCACCGGCTCCAGCCAGCTAAACTCTTCAACGTCCTTTTCCCAGTCGAAGTGCCCTGAGAGGGAATACTGTTCCCAACGGAGCGGTCAGGAGCCTCTGAGAGAAGGACGGTGTGTAGCTGCGTTCTTGGCTATTAGTCCTAGAGGTCAATGTTCCCTCTTATTTATCTAATCTTACTTGTTTATTTGTTTTACTCCTCCCACTCTCCTCAATCTCTCCTTGATCCCCTGCTAAAATTAATCCCAGAAGACACTCTCAAAGGCCTGTGACCACTGCAGAGCTCCAGGGTTTACACACTGATAGGGCCCCACAGTAGTTTGGTTGAGATGCGATTAGGTTGTATTTCCATTATATGGAATGCCTGGGAATCCTCACCCCCCCAGTGTCAAATCTGGACCCCTTCGTACCAGCTAACTCTGCTCGTTTTTAGGGCATTATATGATTCACAAGAAGCTGAGTTAGGCAACAACCTAACTCCATTCACCCAGGAGACGAGAGCCTAAACCGTATGCCAAAAAAAAGTCAGCAGTTACAACATTTTCCGATACCTACCCTGGGGTCTCCATTTCACAATTGCGAACATTTATCGTGACGATGTAAAGTGAGTTTAGATCCCTTGTAAAGCGGTGCAGATTTTTGAGTGAATGATTAGGAAGAGGCTGGATCAATGCCCTAGACTCCCCCTCACTGCCCTGAAGCGTGAGCTGGAGAACACAGAACTGTTTCATTTCTGAGGCCCAACTGGGCACCTTGGTCTCCTGGACTCGTCCTGGGCTCATTCTGCAGCTCTCCTTGAATGGCTGTGAGCCCTGGCACTGCTTCTTCTAACCAGGCCAGCCCGCTGTCCACCTCCTGGGCTTCACTTGGAGCATTTGAGGCCACAAACCAGCATAAGCCTTCACCAAAATTAGCGCATGCTTTGGCAGGGAAGGGCTTTGATTCTGCACTTTTCAAAGTGGAACAATCTGTCTTCTCCTTTCCGGGGTTTGGGACGGGTCTCTCAGTTCGCAGTCGGGGAAAATGTAAATTTCTGTTCTGATTCTCCTCGTGTGCATTGATGGCTTTTTTTCCCCTTCTTCTGCCTGCCTTATTTCGGTGGTTCCTCACAGAGGCGTCGGCTCGTCACCACGCTCCGCTTGCGGGCGACTCGAGTCCCGCCGCTCCCGAGGTAAATCTGCTGGAAGATGGGCCCGAACCCTCTCACTGAGGAGAGAAGTCAAACAGGAAATGAAACAAGAGTGTTAAGAATAGGCGGCGGGTCCACAATTAAGTTTAGCAGGTGTACGAATGAGTTTACCCCTGCGGGTCTCCTATAACCTGTTGAGATGGTATCCACGCACAGGAACATGAGCTTTGAGAGTGGGGTTTTTAAACAGTGAAAACGACACTCTGCGCAGCGCACTGCCTGCCTACCTGGAGGGATTGATGACTGCATTGATAACTGGAAACTTGCTTTCACGCACTTTCCACTCAGTGAACAGAGCAAGCTATTAGTGACAAGTTCATGATTCCTGGGCAGCTGCCTGTAGCCGAAGACGTTGGTGTCTCCCCCATTTCCAGAAACGTATCACTTTTCGCGTGGTGAATTTATACTCTTTCCACAGCTTTTCGTACACCCCCTTGTTGAAATTCAATCTTCCGTCCTCGACCCACTCACAGCCGTAGGTATATCAACAACAATCGTTTGCTTCCACACGGGTCCACCTTGCTTGTTTTATCTTTTCCTGTCGGTAGCTATCGGTCACCAAACCGCAAAGAGGAACCAGTTTCTACCCCTGTTCCCTGCCAGATCCGGCTCTTATGACTCCGTGATTCGTCCTGAAAGAAACTGCCAAAAATAATACAAATTTTTGCTCTACTTTGGTGGATTTGAAAAATAGTAAAGTCCTAGCTTAAATGTGTTACTATTTTTACTCCTGTAAGCAGAGAGTATTTGGGAAGTGCCTTTAAAACTGAGAACAGGAGACTCTTCTTTACCCACAGGGTGGTGGGAGGGTGGAACAAATCTGTCCTGCCGTGTTATTGTAGTCAATGCTTTGGCTTCTTCCAAGAAATGACTGAATAAGATCCTTGAATCAATTAGCTGCTAACTACCAAACGGACTACATGGACAATTGGCCTCTCAGCGATTCTTATGTTCTTATGAACTATTAATTCTGCATTGAAGGTTCCGGCAGGGGTGTGACTAGGACCTCCGGGGTAAAAGAACTCTGCATCTGTGGGCATTATGTTTCTTTCAATTAAGTCCCATGTTCCTGTTGCTGGCTTGTCATGGAGGATCTGTGAAGGATTTGCGAGCAAGAGTAGTCAGTTCAGCCAGTCCTCTGTGCTTGCATGCTAGTAGTTAATTGAATTAAGATTCTCTTCCAGCTGAGGAATGCATTTTCACAACACGGCTTCATAATTTGGTCCAGAAACACCTAAGGTTTGATGTGGTAAACTGCGCCTTTAACAAATATCTGCTGGAACCATCCCTGCCTGATAAATTAGGCTCCATCAGTTGAAATTATTTTTGGAACTGTTTGCAGAATAGATCTTCCCACACCTAGAGCTGTACTAACCTAGCTCTAATCTGAAAAATGGTCCTGCAATTTGACATCATAATAGACCTATTTTTTCCAGTATTTCTTCATCTCCAAATACCTTTCACAGCGTTTTCAGATGGCTTCTAACAGCTAGCTGTCAATATTTCTGGAAAGTTTTGTGTTTTGAAATGATGAAACACCTTGTATTATCGCATTTACATTTAGCATTGGAATTAATTGTGATGGAGTTAGGGTTGGCGTAGTGGGTAGCATTAATGCCTCTCAGCGCTGAGGCCCTGGGTTCAGTTCCGGACCTGGAGTGCTGTCTGTGTGGAGTCTGTATCTTCTCTCCATGTTCATGTGGGTTGTGTCTGGGTGCATTTGTCCAGGGTGTACCCTCTACATTATGCCTGTTGCTTGCCCCCACGACCCTGTACTGGAAGACGTAGTTAGAAAAAGGACGGATTGATAACACAGTGCAGGCAGCCCTGCGCAGTTAGGGGCCACAGTCACCCCCTGGGCCCGCCGTCCTCCAGGTCCCTCCTCTCCACGTTCCGTGCGGGATCACGCTCGCTGACATCCGCCCACGTCCCACCCAGCTGCACCGCCGGCCTGGCATTCCAGAAAAACAGCCGGAAAAGGTGAGCTCAGAGCAGTGTTATTCCAGCGGAGGAAGAAGTTCCATCTCCATACCGTGTGTGTGTGTGTGTGTGTGTGTGTGTTTTAAATTACAGAGCTGAAAATACTCCTCATAGTTTCAGGACTGTGCTGGCGGGAGAGTCGGAGAGCTGTGGTCGCTGGCAGAGGAAGGAGGCAGGAAAGGGAATATTTTTCGGAGTCCAGGCCAAATTCAATGATTTTGTGAAATAAGAGAGGGTTTGGAATGGCTTACAGAGAAAAGGGTGGGTCAGCGCAGTCGGTGAAGATTATAATGCACCTCTCATGTCCTTTGAAAATGGTTTGAAAGGCCGTGCTTGAGGGGGCGTACCCCGTTTTACGTATCTCAGGGGCCCCAGACAGAGAGGCAAGGTTCAGGATGATTTGTTAGGTTACATTGTTGTTTGCTTCTTTTGACAGTTTTAATGTTTCCCCAACAGTGTTTGTCACAAAACTGGAAGTTATGGTATCCTGTGCTCCGAGGATAAAGAAATCACTGTGGTTAGCTTGCTTGAATTACTCAATGAAAATATCTTTATGTGCTGGAGGAGTACTCAGTGCATGGTGACATTTTCATTTTTTTCTACTTGAAACGGTCAAAAGGTACTGCGAAACGTAATGATTTAATTTTTTTAGGGTGTTATCTGAAGACCTGGGCATGGTCGTAACTGTAAACCACATCTTTCTGAAACTTCATCAAGTTATTAAGTAACTTGGCAAGAGGACCAAATACGTTGAATGGTAAAAGTGTCCCTCATCAACCGCAGGGGTTACCTTCCTGAAAACCCCCGCTGGTCAGTACTTGAGTGCAGAGGAGTTATGGGAGTTACGTTTCCACATTCTGGGTTATACTCATCACTAGCACACGTACTGTACCTTGCAGATTCCTCCTTAGAAATTACAATTACAACACATGGTTTCCCGCAGTTGTGTACAGGCCTGCCTGACCAAAAATTGGTGCCACCTGACCAGAAAAAATTCTTGGACTCCAATGAGAAATGTACACAAGAATACATATTGAAATGCTGTTTTATAGTGATACACCGCGAGGTCATTCGCTTGCCAGCAACTGCGATGGTACATAACCACACAGCTGTGAAGTCCAACACATTGGGACCCGTTCTCACGTGTTTGCATCAGGTCTAGGTTGATTTAAAATCCTGAAAGTAACATTTTGAAATTGTGGTTGTGATGTGTGATTCCGTTAATTGGCAATCGCAGTTTTTGACAGAAAATCTCTGGGGATTTGAACCCCTTGAGAGCTCTGTCAGGTATCGATACAGAAGAGTTATCTTCTCAGATGTTGATACTTAGAAATAGCCAGACAATTGAACCTACCCGAGAGGAATCGGGAGCACGTGCTCCCGTGAGCTGCTGGCGGCTCGGCCGAGAGGAGAGACTCGGGGGAGGCAGGCCGAGTCACAAGCCGGCGGAGAGAAGCCGGCTGCTTTTCCCCCTGGGGTGGGGAAGGCCGTTTCTCGATGTGGAAACCGCGTGCGCCCAAGTGCGCGAGGCCATCATTTCGGACGAGCCGCCTTCCCTCGGCGTTTTTTCTCCCGTCGAACCCAGGCAGCCCGGGCGAGGCTTTGCTGCTGCTTCCCTGCCTGCGGGGCTGCCCTGTCCAAAATCTCTCTCGGCTCGGTCTTTGCTGGTTGCCCCGCAGGAGCCTCGTTTTTCAGTGCCATCAGTCAGAGCGAGAGGGGATAAATGCCGCCAAGACGGTTCTGAAAGCGCCTGTGACGTCTCTTTGAGACACAACATAAAACCCAAAAACGGACTCATGTTCCACCCGTTCTCCTGCGACACGAGAGGCTTCCTGGCACAGCCTTGTACTCCTAAAGGCGTGCCAGTCTGGTACGCCGGCATTCACCTTTGCTGTTCGGTCGATTGGCTTAACCAGGGGTCAGACGCAGTGCAGTCTGTGAAATCGGCAAACTCAGACAATTGCCAAGTCGAGGTGTCCCTGTGCTTAGCTGATGCGAAAGGGCCTTGCATTTTTCCCAGCCGCGGCAGTTTCCCATATGCTTCGCGTGTAAAGGGGCTTGCGCCCTTTTAATGGTTTCCCATGCCTGGCTCATAAAACCATGGACCGCGTAGTCCTCATGGAGGCTTGAGTGCCGAATTGGGGGTTGCCTTGGAAACTGCCGTGGAGTGGTGGTGTCTGGGCGCTGCGAGAATGAATGTGCTTCCCGTTGTGACCCCTGACTCCCTCTGTACACAGTCCCTGAGAGTCATTAAGGAACAAAGGCGCTGCAGAGCTCATCTCTATGGGAAAGTCTCATTGTCGGTGACCCTCTTCGCCACCAGGGGTGTGGAGTCAAAGACACCAGGAAGCAGGGTCCCCCAACGTCATTGAAATCTGCAGGCGTGGAGAAAAAATGTCAATATACCCACGCCACCCGTGTGATGATTCCAGCCTGACTTAAAGCCAGTTTGAATTGCAAAGATGGGAAGGCCTGGAAATGTTTGCCTGCTTCTATAGGTTACAACTTACAACTTTGGCCAACAAGAAAACAAAGGTGGAAACGTTAGAGCAGAGGTGTTTAGACCCCCTGAAAAACCTGCTGGTAAATGGAAGAAAACAACTTTACGTTTCAGTCTGTGTTTCATCTGGGCAATTTATTTGCATTTCAAAGTGTGGTTTTTGCACGAGACGCTTCCTCCAGATGGATAAGGAGCTCGGTGACTTTCTGCCAGGTGTCTAAACATGCCCTAGCGTCACTCGAGACGCAGGCAAGGCCTGTACCGACCCGGGCGGCGGTTACTCATCGAGATGTGAGCAGGAAGAGAGAGGAGACCCATCTGCAGATTCGAAAGTGTGCCGATGAAAGCCACGAGGAGACTGGGATGTGGGAGCAAACCAGGAAACTGGGATGTAAGCAGGGCATTTTTTTATTGGGGGGGGGGGTGGGTAATCCAACCGACTTTTAAGATTAAAGATGGCCTGTGTGAAAGGAGAAGGCGGTGTGTGTGTGTGGGGGGGGGCGATGAGGAAAACTGGATGAGTAATGAGAAAAGAGCCTGCCAAGAAAGAGGTCTAGACTCCGAGAGGCACGTATACCCAGATAGAGAGCAGCCTTAGAGAGAATTAACCGGCCTGCCTGATGTCATGCTTCTTTCAGGGGGAGGTTGTAGGGTTTCCAGCCAGAAAAGCCACCTACTCCTCGCGTGACCCGTGTGTGATGCGATGTGGAGGTGGCCAGTTCAGGCCCTGGAGCTTTTGTCCTTTTTTTTTTTCATTCTCCTCCCCCCCCTGGCGATGGCCGTTTCGAGATGCCGCTGCTCAGACTCTCCCAGCTGGCCCGTACAGACAGCTCCCCCCGGTGCTGGTCGAGCAGCCCGGACAGGGAGAGACTCCCAGCTGCCACGCAAACGGGCCGGGCCCGTGTCTCTGTAGAGCAGACAGCGCCACAGAAACATCTCGCAGTTAAAACTGCCCACATTCGCTTCCCGCTGCTCGCTAACAGGAGAGCTCGGGCTTGACGCTCATCCATTCTGCCTGCAGCCTCTTCGATTTGATTGACAGAACTGGAATCGGTTCCTTTTAACCTGGCTGACAAGGAGCAGCACCGCCTGTGTGATCCCTCAGAGCTGGCCTGCTTTGTTTCACCACTCAAGGGAGGGCAGCATCACCCGACGTAGTCGATAGAGCTGATAAGATAAGAGCATCTAAGCCAGGTGCTCTCAAATGAGGCATAAAATCCCAGACGATCAGCCGACCAGTCCAATACAGTGTTTTTTGTAAAGCTGTCTGAAAGCTGAAACCATATGTGACCTACACCTCCCATAACACTGGTAAATTGGTGAGGCCAGACTTTTCAATCTTCCGGTTTTCTTCTTGCTCTTATTCTGATGTTAAAAGGCTGTATCGGCCACAGGAAAGAAAGGAAAGATAAATGGGTTGGCTCTGGCTCATTTGGAGCTGTATATTAAAGCAGTTTCCAAGATAAAGGAGTTGATATTGGGAATTCACCTTGAAGAGATCACATACAAAGTTAGTTTAGATATAACCCAAGGCCCTGGCTCCCGGGTGGTTCTGCTAGTTGAAAGTATTTACTGAGGGCTGAGCTCTGTTGGAGAGACATTGTGTGTTGGCACCTCAATGGGATTCCCCAGGTAGTGGCACAGAACTGGCAGCGCACAGCCAGCGAAAGCGTGGGATTAGTGAGCCAGGCTCCCTTCTCTTTTTCGGTTATCGACTCCAGTGACTTCCTGGATGCCGGCAGGGCAGGAGCTGTGCCGCGCGAAGGAATCGAAGAGGCTAGCGAATTGAAAAAAGTGCTCCTTGTGTTGTAGGAGCTCGTCCCCTGTGTCTCATTCTCTCTCAAGTAGGGTCATTGCTGGAGAGCGAAGGTTTTGCAACGCTGGCAGTTCTGAGCAGGGTAGGTATGTTCTAGCAGAAGGTAACTGACGGTCTAGATGGAATCGGAGGAGCAACAATGCTGTTTTTCTACGGTCGATTATACGGTAGGGCGTCTGGTCCAGTCCGGTTAAGCATTTTTCAAGTTGGCTGATTTTGCAAAGTTGCGAAAAGGCACGGCTGTACTCAAAAAACTCACACACAAACTTCCCGCTGCGCAATCCTTATTCTCTCATCAAATACATATGCACTTGTGTCATATCCAAACCAAGGTCAATAAAGGTTAAAGACATTTTTTTTCCTTTCAGAATGAAGTGATCACAGTTCAGGAATATAAAACATTACCATAATGTTCTTAGCATTAACTTCAGCACTCTTACAAAATAAGTCATAAAATATTGCAGTAGTTCCAAGGAAATGCCATTGTATGTGTAGGGCTGAAATTCCAAAATATGTTTGCAGAGAACTGGAAACCGTTTACATGTTACAGTTTTAAATAGTTTATTATACAGCAATGAAATGTTTCACTTGGAATAATACCATCACCCCTCTCTCCTCCTCTGTACCTTCCTAATCCCATAAACCCATTTCATCCCTGGTCTAGAGAGTTCAAAGGCGGACATC